GTTTTTACTGGTCAAAAACTCGTTTATTAACATTTGTGTGTGACAAGGAGAAATATCGTCATTCAACACCCAGTTGTTCTTGATCTGATTCTGTCGATATTTTTAACGGTTCTTGAAGATGAAGGCCTTCCGTTCTCTCATTTGAAAATGCCACCAAAAAACCTGGACTCTTGACAAAACGCTATCTACGTAGGCCTGGTGAAGCTTAGCAAAGTTTCTGTTGCACTGTGTCCAATTCTGAAGCAAAATAGCACACCGTTGCTCGAAATTGATGTCATTCATTCTTGAAACACGATGGAAAAAACTGTTTTACAAAAAAATCAAGGTCAACCAAATGACTCGAGCGAGTTGAAACTTGTACTGAAGGCGCCTCACATGTTTCCCTGTCTCCCCCCCATGATCTCAGTCTCATCACTTAATTTACATACCTAGTAATTTTGTGATAAATATTGATATTGCTCGTATTTATTCCTACTGTTATGAAAGTGATCAAAGTGTGTAACCTCTTAATATGATCCAATCTTCTCAAAATTAACAAATATCTTTAGAGCTCTATGATTCTCTTGCTCGTAGAGCCCTGTATTTTTTCTGATCGAGTGTAACCACACATTTAGAAATCACTTATTACTGACGCCTCTGTGACCATGGTGGCTTTTTTGTGAAGATCAAAATAGAAATGACAACAGGGATTCAAGTGACAGGTCTAATCTCTTCACTAGGCAGGCATCTACAAGGTCATTTCACATTCACTAGTTCTAATTCAACATATCTCTGATCAACATATTGACAGTTATATTGTGTCAAACTTCCGCTGTGAGCAATGGATCGTTTCAATCTTGAACAAAGGTGGGAAATATTGAAAGACTATTTTCAAAGTGAACGCTGTGTTGCAGAAAATTGAGAAGACTATTTACTCGGAATGAAGCTCGGACCACGACTGGTAGGTGAAAATTCGTGAAGAAAGTTCGTGAGACTGGCCTGCTTGTGGATAACAGTAGGTATGAGCTTGTTCGACCCGTACGTACAGCCGAAAACATTGCCGCTGTTGCCCTGAGTGTGCGTGAAAACGCAATAATGTCAACTCATCACAGAGCACAAGTGGGCCATTAGTCGTAATTCTGTGCGGAAAATATTGCATAACGACCTGGAATTATTTCCTTACAAGGTGCAACTTGTGCAAGAGTAGAAAGAAGATGACCATCGGCTTCGATATCATTTTTCTGTGTATCGGCTCTAATAGATTAGAAACGGACGTTAATTTTGGTCGCTAAATCATCTTTTCGGACGAAACTCATTTCCATCTAGGAGTTTCCGTTAACAAGCAGAACTGTAGGATTTGGGGCTCTGAAAGTACACATTTCGTCGTAGAAAAATCAATGCATCCAAACAGAGTAACTGTTTGGTGTGGCTTTTGGAGTGGTGGGATTATTGGTCCCTACTTTTTTCAAGATGAAGATGGTATCAGCTTGACGGTAAACGGGAAACGATAGAGAGACATGTTGAAGAGTTTTTTGTGGCCACTATTAGACGACAGGCACTTGCACAATCTCTGGCAGGATGGCGCAACATGTCACACCAACCTTGAAACAATCGATCTTTTAATGTTAAGGACCGCTGGAAAATATCAGCCGAGCTATTGATAAAATAGACCCACAAACTATCGAAAATGTGCTTCAAAATTGGGTTAAGAGGATGGACTACTGCCAGGCCAGCCGCGGCAGCCATTTAACTGAAATTGTTTTTCATAGATAATCGGAAAGTGTATTCTTTTGAATAAAGTACGAGTGTTACACATTATTGAAGAGTGTAGTTTTAATACCAATTTAAAAAAACACTAACGGATGGCCCACGCTTTAGAATAAACGATTTCATCATAGAGTATGAATCAGGCCGCAAAAGTTTGGAATAAGCAGCATATCTCTCGATAGATAACTCAGCACCATGTTAAAACCAAATCAATAGTTATTGCAACTGAAAAGTTAGAGCGAAAGCTCGACCATCCATTAGACTGATAAATCTCCTACTAACATTCTACTTTATAACTTTATACGGTAAATTGAGTAGGATAACAGCTTACATAGAGATTTTCCAGGTTCTTTCCAGTACGCCAACTTATTTAAATGCAAATTATGAACGTGGGTCTAATGTGTACGGAAGGGCTGCTGGGATTTAATAATGTTTGAAACTAAAGCAGAAATTAAGCTTTTTTTACTGTTCTTCACTACGGTAGGCAGATGTTTCCTTACCCGCCGAGCGTCCATGTGTGGGAGCAATATGGTGAATTTACATATTCGGGTTCAACGAACAGGCGGGTGAAAAGCATCGGCCAGAGGAATAGCGGTAGTCCTTGTGAAATCATTTAAAAAGGGTCTCTGAACAAGAGGTGTCGTTTTATATTCAAAGAAATATACGGGATATTCCAGAAAAAAGCTGGGATCTGTTTATTTTACGATAAGGTATAGACCTGAGCCTAACGTCAATAAATAAAAGGAAAAAATACTATCTTTTGAAGCAAATTTTCATTCAACTGTTAATTCAGCAACCAAAAATTTCTAAATATTTTTTCCGGTTGTGTAAATATTCGGTAGTATTTCAAACGATAGTTCATTCGTCTCAAGTTTCCAAATAAAAGATATATCGATATCAATAAATGGTGTAACAGGCTTTTATTTGAAAACTTGAGTCGAAGAGCTTCATTATCTGCTGAAAGCTAAGAAGTATAAAACGGTATATGAAGTTCTAATCGGAAACCATTATTTTGAAGCTTTTTGTTCGTTTTACTCGCATTTACAGCTAAATAGAAGGTTTTTTTAAAGATGTATTATTTTTACTTTTGTTTATTTTTCCTTTTACTTCCCACGCTTTCAGGCGGGGAAGTATTGTAATCGCCAAAAAAATCGAAAATGAGATATTATGTTTTTTTGGATGTTATATGACGAAAAACCATGTCACTCACTTCTGATGGTCTATCTATCTGTCTGTCGGACTGCCCGCTAATATTATAACCACCTATGACTTGATCAGAGTTTGAAGAGGTTTTTACACAGTGTTACTACTATGTCAAGGACACAAAATCTTTGTAGTTTTTGAAAATCATCCCAGTGGCGGGAGAAAGATAGGCAACGAAATAAAAAAATAAAAATCATTCAAACTTCGTTTTTTTGACATTTCAGACGATCCTGACCATTTTCGAAAAAAAATTTTAAGGGGTTGAAAATTAAGGATTAGGGATTGCAATGTGTGACAGAAGGTATATTCAATTTTTGCTGTTGGTATATTTATACGCCTCCAACCTCAATAATTCTACGCACTTATTAAACATATTTCACTCATCATAGGTGTCCCGGTACATTTACCTTTAAAACTCACAAATATTTACTATAGTCGGTAGTCGATACGTACGATGTAGTGCCCGGGATGGACAAGTGTCGTTGTCGGTAGTCATATGTCGCAGTCGGCAATCGCTTCCGCACTGCTGATGGTCAATATCGTCATTCATGCAGATTGGTCATCGTAACGATCATGTGCCCAGCAGTAACTCCTCTCAGGGGGAGGAGGAAGATCATTTAAATTTTTGTTATACATGTTCGTAGCTAAGTCTTTATCGGAAGGGCTAACTTATACTAAACATAATTCTTTCGAACTGATGTCGGCGTAGCGTGTGGAAGTATAGAGTCGACTTACTTGACGCCATTTTTTAGTCGTGAAATAACCAGTTTAATAATTTCTATCTAATTTAAATATATTTTGTAAGTATTCTTGATCGAAGAAATGAGCGTTCCTATATTCAAACGAACTATCTAAAGTTGAAAAGCTGCAGCTTGGTATCGTTATCATAGATGAGTATGTATCTAACAATATTGCACTGACGTGATCAACAGTCCTTAGGATCAAGGAGAGTTAAACACATCCCAATTCGATAGGCTTGCGTTGATCTATTACAGAGTTCCTATGGCCATCATCAGGCGCCATATTGAATGACGTCGATTTGCTTCGCTCATCAAGCCTTTTCATCCGATACCCATATCATAGAGGTTACTAAAGAAATGATAAGTCTAAATTATTTTATTCTAACATTCATCATATTGGATTCAAAATGGTGGCATTTAATTTAATGTGTTTTGTTAAGCGAAGCACATATTTAAATGAAATGTCAGCTTAATGGGTTAACTAACTAATATTCAGTATCAAGGTTTTTCCTAACATACATCATTTTAAATTTTAAGAAAAAGACAAGGTTGAAAAAATTTATTGAGTAACTACCTAATTAGTAACTTGTTCCTGTATACATTATATAACAAATAATCTAATTGATCAAGATGGCAAACTTATTGTTTAAACAGACTAACAGTAAGTTGGACGAAAACAATATGTGCAAGAGCTCATTGCAAACCTGAAACCAATGGAATAAAGTCACCACTAGATCACTCATCACAAGGAAAAAAGCAACATTCATTGTGACGGATGTTGCGAAATGGCAATTTGTCATTTCCATAGTAGCCCCTATTATATGGGGATCAAATGAAATGGTTTGATGATTGAAAAACAATAAGCAAAGTGACGTCATTCTCAATCCAATATGACGGACGTCTGAAATGACACTGCAGTTATTATGACATGGGGCTGATCTGGTGATGGAGTATGTATATGGCCATGGGAACTCTGTAACAAATCGACACAAGCCCATCGAATTGGGAGCAGCGGGATTATTTCGTAAAAAACAAATATGTCAAAAAAATGTAATGTCAACTTGTTGACTTAGTGGGCTAGTAGATAATGTCAGTAAATGCTGACACACAAAATCGCCTTTCCAGTTGCACAATACCCCAATCAATTGTTCTTCGTCATTATCGTTCAAAGGTTGAAAAGCATGAAACAACATATTTCTGATCAGTAACATATGTTAAATGTCTAATTTTCCTTCATTTATCTGTAATATAATCTGAAACCGTAAAATTGAAAGGAATTTCATAAACTATTTTCATGACTTAATGTCTTACTTCCAGGCAATGTGTTCGTGATAGCAGCCATCCTGATGGAACGCAACCTCCAGAACGTGGCTAACTACCTCATCCTTTCTTTAGCCGTAGCTGACCTCTTGGTTGCTTGCCTGGTCATGCCTCTTGGAGCGGTCTACGAGGTCAGTCAAAGATGGACTTTGGGACCAGAACTGTGCGATATGTGGACCAGTAGTGACGTGTTGTGTTGTACCGCCTCCATCTTGCATCTTGTTGCGATAGCGCTTGACAGGTGAGACAAAAGAAAAATAGATAATATAACCCTCTAAAGGCGTATTATCCGTGATACGGCAGTACGCAAGGTTGAAAATTAAAATGTTTAAAGAAATATTGTATAAATGGAAATATTTATTCCTATAGTTCCTAAATCGCCATAGGAATGATGCAGTATTGTTGGTTTTGCTTAGATTTTGAGGCTTTTATACAGTGTTTAGTGTGGGCTCGGTCGATTTTTACAGGGGGATTCATTGCTACGTAGCGACCTAAACCTATATTTTCTTAAATAAATTCCATTGCAGACTTAGAAAGGCCTTTTCAAACGAAGCACTGTAACACCTTGTATATTTTCACATTTTTTATTCCCCTTTTCATAAGCTTGTTCATGGGAGCTTCTACAACCGGTTTTTGAGTTACAAGAAACACAGAGACACCTTCTTGGCTTTTCGATTCACTGCATGGGGCTGGGTAGATTTGATTTAAATGGAAATACAACAATTCTAAAGATCTTCCGTCACCAACTAAATGCTATTTTTACTGGTTTACATATTGCAATATTATTCATTCACCTTGATATCTGACTTAAAAGAGGATTAGCTGTAACTCAAAAACGAGTCGACAAACCTCTATAAATCTTATATCAAAGAAAGCTTGTAGAAGGAAGGATTAAGAAATGTGAAAAAATACAGGGTTTCTATTAAACATTTTTGGGAAAGCGTTCATTTGGCTTCTTACCAGCCTGCATAAGCCGTACAAAAAACTGAAAAAGTAGATTGGAAGAGAATATGGAAACATGAAATGGATCTGAAGGAAAAATCAGTATTCTTGCTAGAAAAGTTGAGAATAAAGCTCTATAGTACATATATGTCAAATCAAATTGCTTTGTTTGGAAGTGGCTGTCCAGATCAGTAATGAAATGGTTATTCCATTTAATTTTGGTCACCGGGTAGGGATGAAGATGTCCTCCAGACAAGAAGCATACCGTTGGATACGATTGTTTGTAATATCAACTTTAGATAGCATGTGTGATAATGGAGTTATCGACAAACACTAGAAACTCACACTGTATACAGGTTGTCCCGAAAAAGTGTGCAATATTCTACCAGCGGTTTCTAGAGCTTAAATAGTAAGAAAAGTTTATATAAACATAGGTCAACAAACGTCCCGTAAGGGCGCTACGGTCTTTTAAAGGGGCTCCCCTGAAGATGGTTTTTCCTTAATATTTCCGAAACGTGTTGAGATAAAGACATAAAATTTGATATCCTAGCCTAGTTTTTTATGCTGGGTTCAAAAATATTAACAGTTTTAGACAGTTTTGTTTGGAAGCGTATGTAACAGGGACGGACTCAGGTTGTTTTAGCCCCAAAATTTTTGTGTGATTCTATTTTTGAAATTCAATTTCAATTTCTACATAAAAAAGGTACTCTTATTGAATATCGACAAATTGTGCCATTTTTGAATAAAATCAAACTAAAAAATTTGTCACATGATAGGAAATGTACTGCGAATTTAAATGAATTCTTGAATACTAACTTATCCATGGCAACGAAAAAACTAATTTAATAACTGGTAAATATTACATAAATACATATTTCTATTGCAACATAGTTTAGGCAAAAACAAAAGAAATAATTTTTTTCTACGAACGAAATTGAAATTTGTTTAAAAAAGAAGACATACAGTTGGATATACTTAAAACTAGCTTTAGATATGTGTTCAAATAAATTCCCATTTTGTTGGATACAGAGTCTCGCTCGACGAACTAATGACTGCGTAGCCTGAAAAGTGGTAAACCTTTTTCTTCTTATTTCATTTGCAGCCTGATGGATTCTTCGAAGTAAATCTTCTTGAGTATTTACTTCAGTCGAGTAAACTAGGTCTTTTAATGACCCCCAAAAATAGAAGTCCAATGGATTTAGTTCAGGTGAACGTGGCGTCTACGCTATAGGACCTCCTCGGCCTAACCACCTGTCTCGAAAAATCAACCAATTTCGAACATTGCGTTCAAAATGTGCAGTGGCGCCATCATGTTGAAAAAACATATTTTCTTGAAACTGCTGGCGCACATCCAATGGTATTATATCCATGAGCTCATTCTGAAGAAAGTTCAGATACACCTCTGAATTAAGACGATTGGGAAGTACAATAGGTCCAATTACTTGATCTCCAATTACTCCTGCCCATAAGTTCAATGAAAATCTATGTAGGAAATTTGTACGGCGAACAACTTTTGGATTTTCATCTGACCAGTAATGCATGTTATGGAAATTAAAAGCACCATTCCTAGTAAATATTGACTCATCCGACCATAATATTCTAGGAAAAGTGTTTTGATTTGCTAATATCCACTGGCAAAACTCGATTCGTGGTAAAAAGTCTGCCTCCGTTAAATGCTGCACCCGTTTAAAATAATAGGGATGTAATCCTTGCATTCTTGTCATTCTTCCTATCTAAAATTATTATTTTCAGGATAACTATCAAATATACTAAGTGACATATAAATCTAAACACCCAGATTAAATGGTTTTATTTTAATAAAAGTTGGTGAATGTATTTATCTTACTGTAAATAACAAGTGAAAAAATTTTCAGCCTTATCAGTTGGACATTCCGGTTTTTATACTGCTTTTTTTAATTCACTAACGCTCTAAAAATGAATATTTCAGCCGCAGTAAAGAATCAACGTTGGCAGATTTTGGTTTTCGACATCCTTTACGATCGGTTACGATGCCTAGAGTACGGAGACCTGTACGATTTCGTCAACCTAGTGATATAGAAAGGGGCCTTATAGTGGGACTTCGGGTAGCTGGACTTTCTTTTCGGGCAATTGCAGTTAGAGTGCAAATAAGTATAGACACTGTGGTTAGGTGTTGTCAGGCATGGCTTCGAGAAGGCCGTACGCAAAGAGCAAGGGGCACTGGACGCCGCCGTAGAACAACAGACCGTGAAGATCGCCGCCTAAGATTATTGGCCTTAATGGACCGTTTGTCCACTACCCGGTCCATTGCAAATGAATGGTTTGCAGAACACGGAAGACCTATTGGCATGCGAAGTGTTTACCGACAAATGAGAAGTTTTGGCTTGTTTTCATACCGGCCACATTGGGTCCTCCCTTTAACTCGAGAACACCGACGTAATCGCCTTGAGTGGTGACAACGGTCACTCTGGGATCAGGAATGGAACAGTATTGTCTTTAGTGACGAGTCTCGATTTTGTTTAGGCATGCACGATGGTCGTGCCATGGTTAGAAGGCGACATGGTGAAAGGAGGAATCCACAGTTTTTTGTTGAAAGACATGTTCATCACACTGTTGGAGTTATGGTTTGGGGTACTATAGCTTATGGTTCCAGGTCACCTTTAATCTTCATCAGAGGTAACATGAACGCGCAGCGTTATATCCACGAAGTTCTCGAACCCCATCTTTTACCCTATCTTGACACCCTGGCAGATCCAACTTTCCAACAAGATAATGCCCGACCACATGTTGCAAGAGTCACAATAGACTTCTTTCGACATAATGATGTCACATTGTTACCATGGCCACCAAGATCTCCCGACTTATCCCCAATTGAGCACGTGTGGGATATGATGGGTAGGAGATTGCTCAATTTCCAACGTCCTCCTCAGACTCTAGAAGCACTTCGAGAGGAGTTGGTGGCTGCCTGGAATGAGATACCACAGGAGGACATTGACCACCTGATCAGAAGCATGCCTAGGCGCGTTGGAGAAAGCGTAGCACATCAGGGTGCATCCACACATTATTAAAGGTCAAAGGGCTTTAAAGCAGTGCAATCATTTTGAAATTTTTATCATTTACTATTATGCTTCATTAAGTACTTATACAAAATTTTATTAAAATAAAACCATTTAAACTGGATGTTCGGATTTATATGTCACTTAGTCTGGGTATTCATAAATTTTTCTTACTATTGATCGAGGTACATCCATAATTTCTGAAACATGCGCTGAAAACTTCCATGGTTTGACAAATTCCGGTGAATATCAGTAAACATTCGACGTTCAGGTACTATGCGATTGGGAAATCTATGATATTCTCTTACGGCTGCCAATGAACTGCCATTGCAAAACCCGTACACAAAATACATGTCAGTCAGTTCTCTGTCTGTAAATCTTTACATTTTAAATCGATTTAATAAAAATTTTGATTTTAATCTAGTAATTTTACACTGCTAACAATGTCAGCTTAACGTCAAAATCAGTCATAACAAATCAAAACAACTTTTGTTTGCAGTCATGGCTAACTATGTATAATCAACAATTCATTTAAATTCGCAGTACATTTCCTATCATGTGACAAATTTTTCAGTTTGATTTTATTCAAAAATGGCACAATTTATCGATATTCAATAAGAGTACCTTTTTTATGTAGAAAACCCTAAATTTTTGAATTCTAAAATTAAATTTTAAAAATAGAATCACACAAAAATTTTGGGGCTAAAATAAGCTGAGTCCGTCCCTGTTACATACGCTCCCAAACAAAACTGTCTAAAATTGTTAATATTTTTAAATCCAGCATAAAAAACTAGGCTAGGATACCAAATTTTATTTCTTTATCTCAACACGTTTCGGAAATATTAAGGAACGGGGGACGTTTATCGACCGACGTTTATCGACCTACGTTTATATAAATTTTTCTTCCTATTTTAAGCTCTCGAAACCGCTGGTAGAATATTGTACACTTTTTCGGGACACCCTGTATACAGTGTGAGTTTTTAGTGTTTGTCGATAACTCCATTATCACACATGCTATCTAAAGTTGATATTACAAAAATCGTAGCCAACGGTATGCTTCTTGTCTGGAAGACATTTTAATCCCTAGTCCTTAGTATGATAAAAATAACACAAAACAGCTAATTTAAAGAAAACGCTGTATCAAGCTAGCAGTTTGAATTTTTCCGACCTACAATTGTAATGGTGTCACTCCTGCCATTTGTCACCACTGAAGTTATCTCTAACAATGAACAACTGTCATAGAGCACCCATGCCAGGTTGCATTGTTTAAAAGGTTTCGCACGCCTTTATTAACCAAAAGTCATCTATCTATCCATATATCAAAAGTATCTATCTACTAAAAAAATGCGTTATGCGAACCAATCAGCTGTCGTAATTGGTAATCAAAACCTCAAATATCTTTATAGACAGGAGTGACGTGACTGTTGATGATTAGTAGTTTAAGGTAAATTCCGTTTCGAGAAATCTTTAATTTCTGTTTGTTTCTTAAAATAATCGTCAGATACAATAAACATATTCTTTCGCAATTTCTCAACATCTATTTGAATATCTTATACAAAACATGTTTGCATCTTGTCTATTATAAGCAGAATTAGAAAATATGGAACAATTGAAATTATAAAGTTAGTTAAAATCTATTCAAACTTCATTTGCTCCATGTGAAAGCAATCTTGACCGCAAAATCGTAGCTTCTATCGCTGCCTGTCCAGGCATTTGGGATCCACTGACCAACAGCAGCACATTAATTTGAACGTCGCGTGCTGGTATTTGTTCTGACATTGCGCCAATGATATTCCAAAACACTGTTTAACAACTCATTTGACAAATTTAGCCACATATGCTCTGTTACGAAAGAAGTTGATTTCAAAAAAAAGGTAATAAAAGTCTACAGAAATCGAGATAATAAAATAATACAGTTTGACAGTTCACTTGCTTATAAAAGTTGTTCAAAATTCTTTCCATTGACTGCAATGCAAGCTTGGGCGCGTCTAATCCAGTTTCCGCGAACTAATTCAAATACACCTCCTTCCTGCTACCACTAACTCCTCATTAGTGTACACATGTGCTAGTTTCATTAATAAATAAATAAAAACATAAACTCGCACAATACTTCCTTATTTAACTTTACAAAAATCGACCGCTTTTCATTAAAATCACCTTACAGATAACATATTAAACCTTGTTTACACGTTTTTATCAGTATGAAAAAACGAAAAAGCCCTGGTATTTTGTTTTCGTCAGTTGTTTGGTACAAAATTTGCTACAATGACTTATTAATGCATGTTCTATTATCACAACCATGAACGCTAAATACAGATATTTATTTTTCAAGTTATTATTGAAACTCAGGTTTATAACTTAATTTCTGTAGGACTTTTATTAAATTTTTTGTTTTGTTAAATCAACTTCTATCGTAACAGTGCATATGTGGTTAAAATTTGTCGAATAAGTTGTGAAACACCCTGTAGAGGGTGTTTCCTAATTAAATGTCATTATTTGAGGGGACACCTTTCCATTTCAAAAAGAAAAAATGCATATGAACTTATGTTTTGAGATGCAGGGTGGTAAATTTTTCAAAAATAGTTGATTGAATTTTAAAAAAATGAAATATATATCCATTTATGGGCAGATTAGATCTCTTGGATATGTTCAGTCCAATGCACGGTTTTCATCTAAAAAGTAAAATCAAATCAAATTTGCTCAGAAATGACGGGGCATTTCAAGAATAATTTTCATCTCAAGAGAAATCAGTGGCATACCATTAATATCTGCCATAATTGTTGTCAATCTTTTCTAAAATAATCGAAAGAGCGATTTATTCAAGAATTTTGGGATATGCTGAAAAATTCAACCTTATCCCAAGCTCGCAGCATGGATTTAGGAAACTTCATTCAATAGAGACAGCTACTTATGAGTTTGTATGTCAGATATATAAACAGCTTTATATAAATAAATGTATCGCGGGCATCTTTTTTGACCTATCGAAAGCTTTCGATACAATTGACATTGGACTTCTCGAGGAAAAATTATTTTATTTAGGTTTAAGAGGTTATTAGATTGGGTAGTGTATTTCCTGTCTGACAGGAAATTCAAAACAAAAGTTAACGGAATTACATCCGCAACGTACAGTATCGACATTGGAGCAGCGCAAGACTCAGTTTTGGCATCCCTTGTATTCCTTCTATATATAAGTGATTTGCATCTCTCTGGATTTGCAACAAATTATGCGGATGATACGTCAGTTCTTGTAAGTGGAACTACACGCAATGACATTATTGCAAAAATAAATGAAGTAAAAGCTGAAATGAAAGGGTGGTGCCAAGCAAATCGTTTGATTTTAAACCTCGTAAAGTCAGATGTTGTACATTTTTATACAAACGCCCCTATTCTAGCAAATCATGAGACATCGAAAACTACAACATTCTTGGGAATAGAAATGGATGCAAAGCTCAGTTGGCAACAACACATGGACAGTGTGTGTAAAAAGTTGAACCAATCATATTATGCGATTCTTAAGCTCAAGTTTTGCTTATCAGAGTCAGCTTTACTAGATGTATATTATGCTCTCGTCGACTCACATTTATCAAGAAACATCATAATTTGGGGACAAGCAACTTCAATTTCTAGAGCATTTGTTCAACAGAAGAGAATAATCAGATTGATATTCAACATTCGTAGAAGAGAATCCTGCAGAGATATCTTCAGAAGTCATGAGTCTACCAAGCATTCATATTTATAAGTGCGCCCTTTTCACACATACAAACAAAACAAAATTTATACAGAACAAAAACATCACCACACATTATAATACAAGGGCAGGTGAGTGTCTGAGTATTCCAAAACACACACTGACGCTGTTCGAAAAGTCACCGGAATACACCTGGATCAGAATATATAACACAAACTTTCAGCTAACCTCAGGAATGTCAGTAGTATTGCTAGTTTTAAATGTAAACTACGAAAATTATTAGTTGAAAAATGTTTCTACTCTTTGTCTGAATACCCCGCACTGTGATATACTTTTTTAAACTTTTTTTATATGCGAATGTCTGTACGCCTTAAGTTGTCCCTGTTTGTACTTTGTAAATACTTATGTTTGTTTTGTTTTTATTTTTAATTATGTATACTATGTACCTCCCTCTTAGGACGAGTCTTTTTTTATGATCTACAAGACAATAAATGTATCTATCTATCTATCTAGGCAGGTGAAATTCAGTATGAACGTCACTGGCAAAAATTAAAAAAAAAATACCCTTTGATACATAGTACATGTATGCCAAATTTCATTAAAATATCTAAACTAGTATTAAAGATCCTATTAACAAAGAGTCTTACTTTTTGTTAACTTTACCAATCTGTATTTCAAAAGTTAGGACGTTTAGGACATACGCTCTTATGATGTTTTCTTCTCCGAATACAGCCAGAAATCGCCTTCTTCAATATTGACATTTAATTAGGAAACATCTTATAGGTGTGAGTCGTATAGTAATATGTTGATAATATTGACGAAAATGGGTAAATAAGAAAATTTTAGATAAATGGTAGATTTTGTGCATTTATTAAACGGAAAAATACATTTTTATGGATTAGCAAATAGTATACAATCCCGATTAATTAAAATACAGATAATGTTATGAAACAAAACGTTCATTACCAAGGATTGATCTATAGTGTAGCGGTTCATTATATTTAACAAGCATCCTTTCAGTGTTGTGCTCCTTTGAAAATTATTATTTTCAGCTTCAACTCAGATAATGAAGCCGCATCTCGTGTTATTTTACATAAAAAAAATATTCGAAGCTCAGAGATTTCTCTGCGATGGAAGAACCAATAAATACCTTAAGCTTTGCGCCATACGCATGAGACAAAAAATGACCGAGGTCTTTGCGAGGATAGACCATTGAAAGAACTCTTTATTTGGAACAAGTAAATGGCACTTTGAGGCCTTCAGAGGACCTCAGCAAAAAGCTGACAGCAGGTCTTCTACCAAATTACCCTAAAAACGACCTTTCGTTTAGATTTCAAGTATACAAGAATTTTCAGTGATCCCATCACAAAACTTTCACCACGCAAAATTATCATTTTCGTTCTCTAAACTAAAGTACACTGGGGTAAGTTGGGATGCTTTATTTCTCAATTTTGCACTTGAGCAACTAAAAATCAGTAGCTAAGTGATAGAGATAAATAGTTTTTCTTCGTAAAGTATTATTATTTCGATTTTTCCGACATTTACACCATGTGTGATAAAACTAAAGAGGCTAAGTACCTAGCTGCGGGCCTGTCCTGATGTAACCTCTATTCGCATGTTCCTCGATATTCGCCAGCACGTGCGCATTCGTAAAATTCATGTCAATACTTTGTAGATATGAATATCAGATATTGAAAATAATATTGCGTGCTCCAATTGAACAAAAAATATTAGTTTTTTTTTGATAGAAAGGCATGTTGTAATAGACAAACAAAAACTTCGTTCTTAACTCAAACTTTGAGATAGTCTAAACAGAGATGAGGCTGTCAAATCAGTGAACGTGTGAATCAGACGATATCTTAAAAATGACATTTTTTAATTTATAACAGAGCTACACTCATTTCTGCAGTTTGCTGACGTGAGTTGTAAGCAAAGTTAAAAGTTTTGCACGTAAACAAAATAAACTTAACCTGAACGCTACAAGTGGGGACAAATCTCACTCAGCTAAGATTGGTTAAACTGAATTTTGGTAAAAATGTGTAATAAACCCAGCAAACTAAAATGAGGTTGTGTGTAAAACGGTATTCGTTTTTACTTTGTCAGACTTTGATTATGAGTGTTCCATTAAAAAACACAAATTCTTACAAACTAGGCACTTAATTTGCTTTTCCCTCTTCTTTTAAACAGCAATTTTATAATCATTCTTAGAGGAATATGTAGCTTGGCAGTCACTTCTCCTTCAGAAGTTTTGATGGAGAAGAAACAAGAGAGAAATACAAGTGAGAATTCGCATTCGCGAATATCGACCTAAATATCCGCATTCGCATTGGCTTTATATCACTAGATTCCATGGGGTAGAGATACTAATTGATTTTTATTTTACAGATATTGGGCTGTAACAAACATCGATTATATCCATCAGCGTACCTCAAAAAGGATCGGCCTAATGATCCTGGTGATTTGGTGCGTGTCCTTTTTAGTATGCATCGCTCCATTGTTAGGATGGAAAGATCCAGAATGGGAGGAGAGAGTGAATGATGAGAAATGCATGATTAGTCAAGATATTTACTATCAAATATTCGCATCAGTTTCGTCGTTCTACCTGCCACTAGCTGTCATATTGGTAAGAATTTTATCCACAGTTTTACTAACAATTACAATACAAAAATTACAACGGCTTTTCCAGTACTTACAACTTGAAGGTCACTTATAATAATTATAATTTGTTAACAAAAAGTCCGATTGACGATAAATACAGAGAGTTTTGCAGAAACAACAACAATAGAAGTAACAAATCTACTAAGCGATAACAGCACTGAAAAAAAAAATAAAGGGAAATGAAAAATGTTCTTTTGATAAGAAACTTCAGGTCCTGCCCTGTCACAGGTCGCTTATAAGTTCAAAATTGTCTCTGCTCAATTTAAAACCATAAGTTTCTTAAATTTTTCCCCAATTAGCAACATTTGGTTTACCAATGAGCCCAATTCGACACGCCTGCAAATGGGCTTTGTACGGTATAAGCAAAAATGCTCGAAGTCAAATGATAACGCCTAAGAAAGCAATCTGAATATACCCGCAAAACATCTAGAGCCTAGAGTATCTTAAAAGCACTCACCGTAAATTAACGACAAATCGAAAAGTTCGTTACTGCTAGAGATGTTCAATTTGGGACTTTTTCAAAGTCGATTTATAGGCAAACAGCTTGATTTACCTACCTGGCACGTGTCGCGTGGGTGGGTACTGTCCGATCTTATGGTATAATCGTTTGCCGGATATGGTGCTAAATTTGGTGTCCTAGATTTCTCCAGTGCGTAATAATTCGATTACCCTATGACTTCAGTGTATGCGCTACTAGGTTTACTTATTTTTAAAAGACGTGCAAAAGTCCCACCTTTAATAGCGCCCTGTATACTATGACACACATTCAAACAACTGATAGAGACTCGAGAGCTTTACGGCAGCTAGGGTGTTCAAATGTATGGATACGTCAAAGTATCTCGAAAAATACGTTTTCCAGATAAAGATGCTGTGGAATAAAGTTGTGACGTTTGAAAAGGGTCATTTAAAGTTCACCTTGACGTGAGTTGATAATGATCCTCAAGCTCATTTGAAGGACAAGACAGCTTTCTTAAATAGTAGTGCGAAAAAGTTCGAGTGCGTCATTGTTCATGACTTTGATTATGACCTTAAAGGTCATTTGAGGACTTTCAAAAGGTATGGACAGAACATAATATGACCAAGATCATACCCAAGGTAACGGTCGAGTGCATCTTGGTGATTACGACCGGAGAATAATCAGTTTTATGAAGTCCTCGACAAAAAGTAGCTTTATTTGATCTTCAACTGGTCTTGAAAGTCATGGTCAAATTTATTGGCAAGAAATAGTTTCACGCAAAATTGTCCACAATTTGCATTTCAGGAATTAAGAATAGATGTATCTTGTCAAAGATTCACTTGATCTTCAAATGACCTTGATAGTCATAGTCAAGATGATAGACAGACTCGGACATAAAGTTTCCTGCTATTTACGTTTCAGGTGTCAAAACTCCCTATTTCTATTTAAGAAAACTGTCCTAACCTTCAAATGATCTTGAAGATGATAGTCAAGTTTAAGTTCAAGGTCACTGTTTGTTGACTCTTTCATAACCTTACCACTTTGTTCTTTTGAATCTTTTTCTATGAAACGAATTTTTCAAGACATTGTGTCCTTAACTTGGTTACCCGAAATTGACCCTGGGTTTCTCACTTTTTTTATTTCCGTTATCAAAAATAGGGGCTGCCACACTTAAAAAAAATGTTGAAGATCATAGACAAGGTCATGTTCAAGGTCGCCCTAAGATAACCATTTTCAGAACTTACATCTTTATCCTACATTTTTCTCAGAGAAATGTATTTTTGAGATATTTTGATATACCCGTACCTTTTTGGCACCATGTATTTAGTTAAGTCACATTGTTGCCAAATATTTTACCAAATATACATTTGTTCGTGTGGCAAGCTTTTACCCTAATCGTACAGCTGTCACCAGCCTGCCAGACATCGTGTCTTAGATCCCGCCACACAAATTCAAATCAGTCTACTACGCTATTTAGACGGAAATTCACACGACCGGATCCCAGACACAATCACCGACAAGTCACCGACCACTGCACGGATAAACCATTTATGTTACGCACCTATATGAAATTTTCTGTCTTTTTGGCAGGTTCTGTACTGGAGGATATTCCAAACAGCAAGGAAACGCATAAGACGAAGACAAGCCATAAGGACGGCGGACGATCCTAATGCGAAAAGTATTGCAGCGGGTGGAATCGCCGGAGGCTTAGCTGCAGCAAGCGGTACAGGTATTTTTATATTTTTTGAGAGAATAGTAAAAACAAATGGCAAACACTATTCATAATACTAGCGCCGTCATGACGAAATACCGCAATCACTGATATTTTAGGTCGTACAGCACGCCACCGAAGGGGTTCAGTGGCCGTCTCAATAATTGGAAAGTCTCACACTTCGGGCCGTGAATGATGACTGAATCAATTATATTCTGAATGTGAATATACAATAAGGACTGGTGGATGTTGAAATGAAACAATCATTGCAACGCAATTGCTATAACGAGCTGCCTAAATCTAGCAGATGGTTTCATAATCACTTGGGGTTGTTTTTAACACAATCACAAAAAAATTTACCCACTTCTGATTCGCTTATTTCAAGATTTAGTATAATAACTGTATGTTTGGCTTCGTCGTTATCTGTTTTCAAATATTACTATGTACTCAAAACTCACTAGCTTAGGGTCACCTTTTAGAATGTGGTTCTGTTTTAAGAGCTGAAAAAGGAGACGTGCTAAAAAACAATTTAACCTAAGGATGATTGTCTGAATGCATTACAACATTGTTTTTGTTTTAAAGGAATGATAAGTGGTGGTGATGGACTTCATACATAGAATTAAACGTGTTCCCATCATATGAAAGGAATGTTGCTGAGCTCCCTTCAACATATTTTTGATTCTCGTGGATCATTCTGCCCTCGTGCAGGGCAGTATTTATCTCTTCAAAAATTCCTTTGCTGGAGTAATTTAAAATATATTTAGATGCAAATGCCTGTGTTATAATAATAATTGCAGCTGCTTAGACAGAAACCTAAATACCAAGGCAACGCAATTTCTATAACGAGCTGCCTAAGTCTAGCAGAACTGGGAAAAGCTTCCGCAGGCAGATTGTTTCGTAATCTCGACAGTCTAGGACAAAGGGGCGGTCATATCGGCCAATTCTGAATGTACTAAATTTCTCAGAATTAGTATAGAAGACAGAAGCCTGGTGCGTCTAGCAATCTCAACGCGCGGTGGAATCAAGATGTGGAGCTCTCAGGCGAAAAAACCGATTCGCATAACTGTTAGAAGGAATCCATATCGCCGACCACCCGTCGGTGCGAAAGTCTGTCACCGATGGGGTGAAACTCCTTTTCTACGCCACTGCACTTTCAGATAAATCTTCTCAGCTTCTGTTCAACTGCAGCAAGAAAGACGGAAGCTAAGCGGGAATGCAATATTCCAGCTGGGCGTGCCTAAGTAAGCAAATTAGAGCGGCAACTTTAGTCTATGCAGATTATATAGTAGGTATCTAGTCGACTGCTTAGTCTTACGTCTTGAGGGTTGCCGCATTAGCTTCCCACTCCCTCTCTGTCTATGAATTTCATTTGGATAATATGTATGCTCCATGTGATTATACGCCGACAAGTTGGAGCTAAGATATGTTGCTTTTTCATCATGTTATGAATACAGAGATGTAGTCGTCCTAGCTACTTGTGTGTGTGTGTGTGTTTCTAACGGCGCTATTCCATTGAGACAACTTTCAGGCAATATGCAGCGCACGGCATTGACGTATGCTACACACATTCTTCCGGAACTCAAAGCGACGAAAAATCCTCCTTACCCCATACTACAAGCTGACTACTGTTTCTTCTCGATTGCGTTATCTCTCGACATGATTCAACGTGTCGAACAGTTTTGTCGTCAGTGTTGTTTATTGGAAATTGAATACATGATGTCAGTAGGAATCTCCCAACAAGACACAGAGATATATATACAATTTTATGTTTTTTAAAGTTTGATGCTATATCCAACATTGATCCATGTAATACAAACGTGATAGATGTATTAGTATTAGAGAATTTCTATCACAGGTAACAACTATGAGCATTACTACTTTTCCTATTTTTTCTTGATATCTGCTGGCGCCATCTGTGGAGCAATAATGTGATCAGTTTTTCTTTCACCGCCGCTGGTAGCATCTGTGTAATAACTACTGAGCTTTATGTCGCACATGATTAGGTTTCATTTTACATGTTACATCACTGGGAGAAGAAGTATTGCAATCACGAAAATGAGATATTACGTTTTTTTTTGATGTTGTATGACATGTACAACACGAACAACCATGCCACTCATTTCCGTCTGTCTGGCGGTCTGACCAAAATTGTAATATTAATAATATATTTTAACACAAAGTCTATCACCTCAAGGTCGGAAAAGATTTGCAGTTTTTATCTAGGTCAAAAATGAAAATAGATATCGGTCAAACGTCGTTTTTTGACATTCAAGAGGTTCCTGATTATTTTTGAGAAAATATTTAGAGGCAAAAAATTAGCGGTTGCACAGGAGCGGATGAGGGTTTCTCTCTGTTTTTTGATGTTAGTATATTTATACGCGCCCAGCCCATAATAGACAATACGTCATATTTTTGCTCGTGAATGTTTTCAAGTTTTTCAATAGAAAATCCGATTTAAAAACGTGGAGATAGACTCTGGAGGTCAAAGTAATGATCCCCCAGCGTCCCCGATGATGAATGGACCCAGCCAGAAGGAAAGAACAGAAATTACCAAGAAATCAAAGGAATTGACACCAGCTGTGGCAGACGAAAAGGACGGAACCATCCAGCGCCAGACCCTGATCATCGAAAGCCAGGCCCAGCAAATAAAGTAGCTGACTGAGACCATGAAATCAAAGGAATTGATGAAACCAGCTGTAGCAGACGAAAAGAACAGAACCATCCAGCGCCAGACCCTGATCATCGAAAGCCAGGCCCAGGAAATAAAGGAGCTGACTGAGACAGGGATCAAAACAGTAAAATAGACTGCCTGACCACCCAGGTAACACAGTTAATCAATAATGCAAATTTTAATTCTAAATCTGACAAGGCTGTCGATTTAAGAAGACCTCTTGAAAATTTAACTGACGTGACATCGACCGACGATGAAATACAGAATGACGGATTCATCCAGGCCAAGTCTAGGAAAAGACGCATCGACAAAACGAACAAAACCGACAAGACGGATGACTTCCCGCTTCTTCCAAAAGCAAAATCAAAATTCAAGTTGACAGTCCCCTCAAAACCTTCTGCTTCATTAAACGTATCAACTTCTTCTGCCACTTCTACCTATGACGGACGATGCAGCGACCACATCTTCTCAATCTTTGGCCACTGCATCGACTGACGGTGCATTGTCTCAACAATCTCACGTTGCTGGTGAGTTGACCAACACAGCACCCTACCAGGGGCGAATCACGGCCCACTGTTTTGCGTGATGCGGCCAAGTGGCGACATCTAAACTACACCTTTATAAGCTTAGGCATTAAGATAGAACGCGCAGTTGCCGTTGATGCGGGAATCAGGATTTTGCCGAAAACTGAGGATGACTACCGAAGAATCGTTCGCCTGTTCAGGGAGGAGCACGTGCCCCATCATACGTTCCCTCTTCCTTCAGAACGAAATATTCACGCGGTAGTCAGAGGCATACCCGCAATGTTTTCGGAACAGGAGATCAAAGGGGAATTAGAACAGAGGGAATATACTCCTCTCCACATTATCCGACTCAAACGCAGTGGCAGCGCACTCATGCCTTTGGTGGTCGTGATACTGCCCAAGATTGAAAAGTCCCAGCAGCTGTTCAATGAACATGATCTGCTGGGTCAGAGTTGAAGTTCAAAAGAACTCTAGACTTATTGGGCAGTGTCACCGCTGCCAAAGGTATGGTAATGCGCAGTCTTACTGCACAGCACCTCCCAAATATTTAAAATGTGCTTCCGACCACATGACACATTTATGCCCCTTCACAGGACAAGAGGAGCGAAAGTGTGCGAACTGTGGAGGGGCGCATCCCGCTAACAGTCCCACTTGCAGATTCACCCCCAGGCGAAATCTGGAAGTCATAGCGCGAAGACGCAGCAAGTCATACGCGGAAGCAGCCGTCTCAACATCTTCGGCTGCCCCCTCTGTTCAACCCACTTTGAACACGCAGAATGTGGACCTAGCGACTGCGCTTAGATCCCTTCAACAAATAATAAGTCCCCTGATTAGCGCCACTCAGGCATTGCAGGCGATCTTTCCGCAGCCATTGAATGGCTAAGTACAATAGACAACCTACATTTATCATCTGTCAGGTATCTTGGAGTCATCATTGACAAGGGGTTGACCTGGCAGAAACATACTGATATTTTGAAAACAAAATTCCAAATTACCTTTCGGCAGCTTTATCCTCTGTTGTGCAGAAATTCAAAATTAAGTTTGATCAACAAGATTCGGTTGTATTAAGTGGTCAAAGACCCAAAATCACCTACGCTTGCGCGGCTTTGTGTTTTCTTGCCAAGACGCACATGCAGAGACTGCAAGTCCTGCAAAACAGAACCCTACGCACAATTACTAACGCCCCTTGGTACGTGTCAAATGAGACTATTCACAGAGATCTTGATATTTAAGGGATTACGTAAAACAACAGGCGCATAATCAAGCGGAATCGCACAGCAACACTCTGTTGCGTGATTCAGTAGACTACACAGTCGAGCAAGTTCGCAAACATTCCAGGCCGCGCCTCGCACTGTGATTAAAATTTAGTTTTAAATTCAGACCAGCCAAAATTATTTCAGTATACAAAACCGATCAAAATTATTTTTTGGAGTTACAAAATAATTCGAGTAGTCAAAGCAATAATGCTTAAGCTATTTCAAATGATTTACTTCTTTTCTTTGCTCTATTTCTTCCTTCATTTCTTTCCTTCTTTCCCTTTTCCCCTTAAACATGTTTGGTATCTGGGTAGCCAGACCTGACAGACTAACAGACCGACGAGACTTTTAACTAAGAGCAAAGGTCCACCGGACCGCTCTGACAAATAATGACGAATAGTATACGCGCCAGGCCTGTCAGTTCTACGCATCTATTAGCCTTATGCTGTCTGGGCTCAGCGCCCGGCATAACTGTCTGCTTGATTGATCTGCTCGTACTGCGGCGGTGCCTCGAAGGCTGCCCCTTCGGAGAATATAGGAAGGAGCAACGTTGCCAGATGGACGATA